TGTCATGGAAATTTTCATATTTTAAATACCATCATTTCCTACATTATAGCTTTCAGTACTTATACATCTATATAAATATAATCCTGAAGGGTAATAAGTCTAAACCATGGTAAGATGGTGTTTTAAAAACCATAAACCACAATTCACTATTCACTGCGTTTTACACTTGTCGGGGCAATGCATTTTATCTGTGTACCTGAGCAACCCGGGTCCGGTAGGGCCGCTGGTTGTATTTGTGTTATTAAATAAGAGTAATTTTAACAGTAAAAATATTTGTTTAAGGTATGCTATTATTTTTAGAAAATAATAATTGCGTGTTACATAATGATTAATTTTTTCAATTAGCACAAATTAGTTCTGTAATCGACTAATCGAATGTTCAATACATACATTTCTCTCGCATAAATCGCATATTTGTTACTGTTTTATAGCTTTATTTTTCAGACAAATGTAGCATCATTTCCTGTTGCCACATGTGTTATTTCATCACTTTTTCATTGTTGGATCTAACGCGAGTCGGGCTTGGCAGGTGCGTTTTGCCCTAGAATGTGCCGATTATGTTTAAGGTAAATCTTGGGCAATAAAATTAATATTATTACAACCCTCGGTAGAATAATTTATCGTGATATATTCTCAGAAATCGTGAAACGAGATTAAAATAAAATGACTTTCAACAAAAATCTGAAAATTTAAAGTTGCACTCTGGTGATTCCGGCCAGCCAGGCAGCCTTTGATCCTATAAGAGGTTTAAATACCTTTCTAAGAAATTGTACTTATTTTGCCTTAAACGGAACCAGCTATTCTTCCTAAAATGTATATACCTGCCGCACCGGGATAGACGATTACCGGACATGCTCATAAAAACATCGTAAGCCGATATTGAAAAATAATAATTTATGACAGTTTGCCGACAACAGACCTTCAGCACAGAATAATCATTTCCCGTATTCTTTTGAAATATTAATTTTAGTGCTGGAGATAATTATTAGATATACTCAAACACAATTTGGACACTGTAGTGTGGGAATAAAAACAAAAAAATATTCTTTTTAAGCGTACGTAATAAATATTGCACAATTTGCGACACATCAAACAGCGAAACGATGGCCTATTTGCAGGAAAAAAGACAAGATAAAATGTTTATTTTTTAAACTTAATACCACAATTCCTTTTTCTGCACCTGTGGAACGGGTGTTTAGTAGCGGAAACCAAATTCTGACACCAAGAAGAATTAATTTAGGTGACAATTACGTTCGAAATGTTGTTAATTTTAAAAAAATCATTAAACAATACATAAAAAAATACATAAACATGTTTTCAGTTATTTTATTCGCCAAAGCTTCAAAAAGTATCTGTTTTCTTGTATCTGTATCTAGATCACGGTCTAGATACATTTCGAAAAAATCGAAAACAATCTGTCTCTAGATACTTTTAAAAGTATCTGTCCCCAACACTGCTTATGAAATATCGAGAAAATTTGAAAATACCAAATTGAGCAATGAACTCCATTACTGTACGTTCTTAGGTTATCCTCGATAAGAAAAACAACTTGAAAGTGTTTATGTTTATACCTATCATGTCATGTAGAAATTAGTTTGATCTGAATTGTTTTGATCCTCAAAATAGACTAACAAGTTACAATAAAAAAAATGTTCTGAATATCATTATTATAATTCTTATTAAATAAAGACATATTGTATTTTCACATTTTGGGGAAAATGGGGTGACTCATTCTTAATTTGATCAATAAAAAATATGAATGCTATGATGAATCACAAGTAAAAACTCATCATATTTTGCACATTTTGGGTAAAATTTATCCGGCAAAATTTTGAGATAACGTCATCAATTTTTTGGGGGAAATAAACAGATACCGCTGGTAAGATAAAACTAATTTTGGCAAATCACACACCTCCTAAAAAAAGAGAGGGTGGGTGGGCGGGCCTAGCCCATGCTAAGATAAAACTGATTTCCGCAAATGACATATTCTCTAAGAAAAGAGAGGGTGGGTGGGCGGGGCTAGTATCTGCTAAGGTAAGACTGATTTTGGTAAGTATTGGCCCCACCCGCCCGCCCTTCATTCTCTTAGAGGGTATGTTATTTGGCAATATCAGTCTTATCTTGGCAAGCGCTAGCCCCGCCCACCCGCCTTTCATTCTCTTAGAGGGTATGTTATTTGGCAATATCAGTCTTATCTTGGCAAGCGCTAGCCCCGCCCACCCGCCCTTTATTTTCTTAGAGGACTAGCACCTGCTAAAATAAGACTGATTTTGCCAAATGACATACCCTCTACGAAAATGAAGGGTAGAAGGCAAAATCAGTCTTATCTTGGCAAGTATTGCCCCCACCCACCCACCCTTTATTTTCTTTGAGGGTATGCATGCCATTTGGCAATATCAGTTTTATCTTGACAAGCCCGCCCACCCGCCCTTTATTTTCTTAGAGAGTACATCATTTGCCAAAATCAGTCTTATTTTGGCAAGTACTAGCCCCACCCGCTCACTTTTTCTTTTTTTAGAGGGTTAGTACCTGTTACGATAAAACTGATTTTGGCAAATGGCATACCCTCTAAGAGAAAAGAGGGTGGGCGGGCGGGGCTAGTAGCTGCCAAGATAAGACTGATTTTGGCAAATGAGGTACCTTCAAAGAATTTTTTTTTTATTAACAATTTATCACGCTTACGCAGTGACTTTAAAACGTCTGCAAGATTTCAAAGTACATATTCAGTTTTGCAATTCTTGATTTAATCAATAAAATAAATTGACTCAATCATTAATTTTTTTCAGACACCCCGTATAAGCAAATCTAAAAAATATTAATGCAGTGATAAATCACAAGTATAGACATATCATTCTTTACACATTTCAGATAGCATTTTTTTCAGCAAAATTTTGGGGTAGCGTCATCAATTTTTTAGGGGGGATGAGCAAACACATTTTGATCAAAAATTTTCCATGCCTATGATAACTTTAAAACATCGCCAAGATTTCAAAGCGTTCGGTTTTGTAGTTTCTGATTAAATCAATAAAATAAATTTACGCATTCATTAATTTTTTTGAGTATATGCAAATCCAAAAAATATGAATGGAGTGATAAATCGCAAGAAGAGACTCACCATATTTTGTACATTTTAGATAGGATTTATTCAGCAAAATTTTGGGGTGACGTCATAAATTTTGATCAAAAATTTACCATGCTTATGATAAGTTTACGCGAAACTACTTTCTTCGTACTGAAGGGGCATGAAAGGTCGAGAAACCATAAAAGTGGCAATTCGTCCGATGGACTCGATTACTAGGTATACTTCCTTAGCTTACGTTCGGGAAGTAAAAAATGAATGAAATTGATGTAGTGTCCTTGCTATGAAACATACAAATAGTTTATCTACTTTTATTTTACAATAGGGGTTGTCATGAAAAAATAAATTCGCAAAATCAAATTTTATAAATTTTCGAAAAAGTTGGGTAAGTTATGTACTTCAGGGGCGAGGAAACCACCTTATAGCAATTTTTCCATCAGGGAGAGATTAAAATTGAGGAAAACACGTTTAGGGAAGAAAAGTCTTCCTAATTTGTAAAATAACTTTATTAAGCAATTAAAACAAACGAAGGGAAAACAAATCTTATATAAAGAAAAAAAGAAAGAAGAAAACTTTAAAATATTTTTTATTCATTATTTAAGAGATTAACATTATGGTTAATAAATTGCCTGAAGGAGTGAAAGTTTATTAATTGTATACAATTTTCACTAGTGTTTTGCTTCTGATCCAACACTATGAAAATGAACAATTCATGTAAATTTTACAACTGAACAGCAGTTTTACGTTTATTGTCTATAAATCCAGTTGATATGAACTCTAACAGTTATAAAAAGCTTATAATATAAAATCCGTCGACGGTCAGGACAAATTGTTCGATGATAAAGCGTTCCATAAAATAACTATAATCAAAGTTCTGTAATTGCGTGTGATTTGCCAGTGATAAACTTTTGTTAATGTTCTTCATCGTAATCGATAGTTTAGTTTTAGTTTGATAAAATGCTGTGAAAACAAGATATAGGTACATGAAATTAACTTGCAAATTTTAGATATTTAGCATTAAAAAAACTGAGTCCTTGTACTAGAGCCCTACATACCTACTCTAACGAGGGACTTGATTACATATTTATGAAATTGTGCCAACTATGAACTTCATAATTGTATTTAGCTTCACTTTACTACAATTCATTCAAGAATAGTAAGTCCTAAAATGGGTCAAAATATACCCACAAAGAATGAAATTATTTTGACAATTGTGTATCATTTGTCAGCGCCAAACCTTTTAATGCGCTTTCTCATAACTTGCCCTTTTTAACTTAATAAAGCACCCTTTAAAAGACCTGCTTTTAGTACGGCCGCAGAAAATATAATTACCATTAAATGAAATTAACAAACTTTGCATTTTCCTGCAAAAAAAGTCGAGATTTTTCCGTTTGTACTTTACTACTTGTACTAATAGAGTCCGCGCCTATGACATCCTGCAACTGCAAACTTCGGTAAATCCGTGGCGCTTCCCCTCTTCCACCGGTATAATTAACGTAGCATAATTACGCCGCCCCCGCTCGTGCGAAAAATTACGGCCCGATTACTCGACAACAAACAAGAATGTGTTGATTTTGGTGTCCCGCTGGCTGCGGCCAAATTAAAGGCGCCCCTCGGAGCCTCCGCGAAATTTACTACCTAACACTCACCGCTCCCTCTCTGTACCATCGAACCAGCATACGCAGCCTTATTCTTAATAGAGCTGAAGAACCCGCTCATGAGGACATGTTCTGCACGTACTCATCGCTATATACGAACTGCACTCGGCGACGGATTTATCAGATGTGGCGAGCCGAAGAGGCAAAGTCGAAGGCTGAGGGCTTGCGTCTTTGTCCTTCGGAGGCGGAAGGACAAGGATGGCGGGACAGGCGCAAGAGCTTCAACCTGGCAGGATTCGACTGGTATTGATTTTAGTACTCACGTTTTAGAAGTTGGCCGGTGATGACGTCAGAGTGTGCGTCTTGTTGACGACGCAAAGCGTCGCGGCGCTTCAGCTGCCGCACCAGAACACTGCCGGCGCGCTCCACGTGGTATTCCAAATAACTAACGAGGGAAGATAATTCGGTTACATCTGGAAAAGGGAGTGCGAAAAATTACATTTGTTGGCGTTTATAGGTTAGGAGGTAAGAGAAGGTGGTGGTGGAGGGTTGACGCCGATAGGAATTGGATTACGACGGGCGAAAATGAGGGTAATAATAATCAGTAAATATTTGCGGCGCCGGCAAAGGAAAAAGCGCGCAGATTAGAAATACTAGTGCTGGAAATCTGGACACAGCGTAATAGAGAAATTATAACTTTTTTAGTTTGTCAGGATGCTTGAAATATCCTAGTGGAAGGATATTATTACAAAACATATTTTCCAAACGGTTTTGCTTTCCCGAGCGTGTGCTATGGAAGTATTGTAATCGAGTCCATCGGCCCCTAGACTAGAAAAAAATAGGTCAGCCGTTTCTGTCTGTCTGTCTGTCTGTCCGTCGTCTGTGTCGATTTTTATTAGACTAGATTAGACTATTGGGTCGATTGTTTATGTATGTATGTTACGAATTTCATGTAGATGGTAAAACACTAAAACAAAAGTTGTCTGATCATGCGCACCAACAATGGAATGACGTCATATCCAAATTTTACAGTGGTAGGTAAATGTTATTTAAATTTTATAAATTTTTTCCTGCGGTTCTGGTTTATGAATCGTTGTTGAGTTTTTACCCTAGGCATCTCGATTTCTGGAAGAAAATCAAATTTTTTTATAAAATTTTACAATTTAACTTTGACATTGCAAAATCGAATGATTTACCCGTCTATGTCCCCCCCCCCCTCCCCCCACCCCCAACAGATTCTAGGATATTTCAACATTCGATTTCTCATTTTTTTTGCGATTTTTTAGATTTTTAATTCTTCAATTTTTCGATTTCTCAGTTTCTCGATTTTTAAATTTGTCAGTTTGTCAATTTTCCGTTTTTCTGTTAGTCAATTTTTCGATATTTCGGTTTTTTGATTCTGCATTTTTTTGATTCTTCAATTTCTGAATTTATCAAATTTTCGATTTCTCAATTTTTTAATTTTTTGGTTTTGCAATTTTCTGATGTTTCGGTTTACGATTTTTCAATTTGTCCAATCTTCAATTTTTCGATCTTTAAATTTTTTTGCGGTTTTTAAATTTTCAATTACTCGATTACTTGATTTTTCGATTTTTCGACATTCCGATTTCTCAGTTTTCCGATATTTCAGTTTTGAGCGATTTTTCAATTTTTCGACTTTTCAATTTTTTAATTTTTTTGTTTTTCGATTTTTCAATTTTTGGCGTTTCTAAATTTTGTATTGTTCGATTTCTCGGTTCTTTGACTTTTAAACTTTTCGATTTTTCAGTTTTGTTTGAATTGCTCATTTCTGAGTACTTCTCAATTTCCCGATTTTTCATTTTTTCGATTTTTCATTTTTTCGATTTTTCAATTTTTCAGGTTTGTTTTCTCACTTTTTTAGATTTTTTAAATTTTCAATTTTTCGACTTTTCAAGTTTCCGATTTTTTCATGTGTCAGTTTTGGAATATTTGGATTTTTTTGTGATTTTTCAATTTTTTATTTCTCGATTTTTCGATTAATTTTTTCATTTTCCGACTTTTCGATTTCTCTGTTCCTTGACTTTTCGACTTTTCAATTTTTCAGTTTTTTGAATTTCCCATTTCTTGATTTTCCGAATTTTTCATGTTTCGAAATTTCGAATTAATTTTTTTATTTAGGTTTTTATTTTCTCAATTTTTCGATTTTTAAATTTTCGATTTCACGATATTTCTACTTTTCGATTTTTCGACTTTCCGATTTCTCAATTTTTCAATTTTTTTTAGTTTTTACATTTTTTAATTTTTCGACTTTTTAGATTGCAGTTTTTTCGGTTTTTCAATTTTTTGATTGTTTAATTTTCGATTTTTCGAGTTTTCAATTGTTCAATTTTTCGATTTTTCAATTTTTCGATATTTCGATTTATCGAATTTCGGCTACTTTAATTTCTATATTTTCAATTTTTCAGTATTTTGATTTTTCGATTTCCCGGTTTTTCGATTTTTGAACTTGTCTTGTTTTCGATTTTTCGGTTTCTCTGTTTTTTACTTCTTCGATTTTGCAATTTTCAGTTTTTCGTCTTTGTTTAATTTTCGATTTTTCAATTTTCCAGTCTTTTACTTTCATAGATTTTTCAATTTTTCAATTTTTCGACTTTCAGTTTTGGATTCTGCGATTCTTCAATTTCTCGATTTTTAAACTTTTTGATTTTTCAATTCTTGCTGTTTCCAAGTTTTCAATTTCTCGATTAGTCGATTTTTTTTATTGTGCGACTTTCAATTTCTCAGTTTTTTGAATTTCCAATTTCTCGATGTCCGGAATTTTCAATGTTTTGATTTCTAGATTATTCTTCGATTTTTCAGTTTGTCAATACAATTTCACGATTTTTAAAATTATCGATTTCTCGATTTTTAAATTTTTTGGTTTCCTAATTTTAGATTATTTTAAATTTGAGCGCTTTTTTATTTTTCAATTTTTAAATTTTTCGGTTTTTCGATTTTTCGATTTTTTGTACATATTTCTAAATTTTGATTTTCCGATTGCTCGATTTTTCGACTTTTCGATTTTTCAGTTTTTCCATTCTCCAATTTTTCGATTTTTCAATTTTTTAAATTTTCGATTTTTTGACTTTTCGATTTCTCAATTTTTCGATTCCCCAATTTTTCGATGTATCAGTTTTGGGATATTTCAATTTTTTTTGATATCTCGAGATTTCAATTTTTCGATCCACTGAAATCAATTTTTCGATATTTCAGTTTTGGAACTTTACGGTATTTCGATTCTTCGATTTTTCGATGTTTCGCCATTTCAATTTTTTGTTTTCTTGATTTTTTATTTCTTCGATTTTTCGATTTTCCAATCTCTCTAATTTTAAAATCGTAGTTTTTCCGGTTTTTGAATTTTTTGATTGTTTAATTTTTGATTTTTCAATGTTTCTTAATTTTTCAGTTGTTCAATTTTCCGATTTTTCAATTTTTCAATATTTTGATTCATCGAGTTTGGGCTATTAATTTCGATCCCTATTTTTTAATTTTTCGACTTCTCGACTTTCGCCTTTTCGTTTTCTCGATCTTGATTGTTTAATATTTGATTTTTCAATGTTTCTCAATTTTTCAATTGTACAATTCTTCGATTTTTCAATTTTTCGATATTTCGATTCATCGAGTTTGGGCTATTATTTTTGATCTCTATTTTTTAATTTTTGGACATCTCGACTACCGACTTTTCGTTTTCTCGATATTTACATGCTTAAATTCCCCGATGCTACAATTTTTTATCATTTCGATTTTGCGATTTTTCGGTTTTTCGACTTTTCGTCTTTTCGAGTTTTTGATCTCTCAGTTTACTTTTTCAATTTGTTTACTTTTTAAATTTTAGATTTTTCGGTTTTTGATTGTTTCATTTTCGATTTTTCCATTTTTTAATTTTTCATTTTTTCAATTTTTCATTATTTTCAATTTTTACATTTTTTTTTCAATTTTTCAATGTCTTGGCGTTTGTGTTTTTCGATTTCCAGATTTCTGGGTTTTCTGATTTTTCATTTTTTCGATTTTTTGACTTATTTTTCAATTTTTCGATATCTCTATTTTTCAGTTCTTCGATTTCCCTATTTTTCAATATGTATTTCAATTTTGTGATTTTTCAATTTTTCGATTCTTCAATTTTTCAGTTTTTCGATTTTTTTTTGTTTTTCCATTTTACGATTTTTTGATATTTCCCGATTTTAAAATTTTTTTTATTAAATTTTTCGATTTTACAAATTTTCGATTTCTCGACATCTCGTTTTTTTCAATTGTAAATATTTTTCAACTTTTCGATTTTTTAATTTCAGGATTTTTTAAGTTTAAGTTTTCAATTTTTCAATATGTAAATTTTGCATTTTTTTCACTTTCTAAAGTTTTCAAATTTTCAATTTTTTGACGTTTCTAATGCTCAATGTTTCAATTTTTCGACTTTTCAGTTTTCGAGTTTTTCGATTTTGAAAATTTTAGATTTTCCAATTGTTCAATTTCCCTATTTTTCAGGTTTTCAATATTTCGAGATATCGAATTTGCACTATTTCTCAATTTTTTAATTTTTCGACTTCTCGACTTTTCAGTTTCCCAATATTTTCGTGTTTAAATTTTTCCATGTTTCAGTTTTTCAGTACATCGATTTTTCGATTTTTCGCTTTTTCCACTTTTCGGTTTTTCGATTTTTCGTTTTTCAAATGTTTAATTTCTCTGTTTCTCATTTTTTTAATTTTTTAGTTTTTCGATTTTTCGATTTTAGGATTTTTTAAGTTTTCAATATTTCAATATTTAAATTTTGGGAATTTTTTTCAGCTTCTGAATTTTTCAATTTTTCAATTTTCCGATTTTTCAATTTTTCGAAATTTCGATTTATCGAATTTGGGCTATGTCGATTCAATGAATTTGATCTGTTTCGATTTCTCTATATGTTTCAATTTTTCGACTTCTTGACTTTTCGATTTCTCGATTGTTTCATGTTTAAATTTTTCAGCATTTCGATTTTTCGATATGTCGATTTTTTGACTTTACGTCTTTTCGATTTTTCAATTCTTCATTTTCCCGATTTCACAATTTTTAGATTATTCGACTTTTCGATTCCTGGATCTTTTCATGTTTCAGTTTCGCTTTTTCGACTTTTCGGCTTTTTTATTTTCCGTTTTTCCATATTTTCGATGTTTCTATTTTTCAATTTTTCAATTTTCCCATTTTTCGACATTACAGTTTTGTAATTTTTTAATTTTGCAATTTTACGATTTTTCAAGTTTTTAATTTCACTACTTCTCATTTTTTTGATTTTACAATTAAGTGATATTTCGATTTTTCGTTTTTAATTTTTTTTTAATTCAATTTTTCGATTTTTCGATTTAACGATTTTTTAAGTTTTCGCTTTTTCGATATTTAAATTTTGGGATTTTTTCCCCTTTCTGAATTTTTCAATTTTTCAATTTTTTGTTGTTTCTATTAGTCGATCTTTTAATTTTTCAACTTTGAAAATTTTTGGTTT